TTTCTTGCTTAAAATTAAAAAAATAAGTAAATTACTTAAATAAAAATGTTAGTGTTTCCAAAATTAGATATAAATTATAAGTTGAAGCCCATGTTTGAGCCATAATCTAGGGGCCTGTCTGTGCCACATTATTCCAAAAAAATGCATTCTTAAACAGTGATTTGATATCATTTCAACCACATATTCTTCAATAAAATAATATTACACGCAAATCAAAAAATTTTCTTTATTTTTTAACCACACATTTCTCATCAATACACTATTCAAAAATACATTATTACCAAACTAATGTGGCTCAAACATCCCCTAGAAAAAAAAATGCATCATTCATGTCAAATCAATGAGAAATGTATAATTAAAAAATAAGAAAAAGTTTTAGATTTGCTTATAATATTATTTTATTGAAGAACGTGTGGTTAAAATGATATCAAATTATTGTTGAATAATATATATTTTTTGAAAATAATATGGCTCAAAGAAGCCCTAAGATTAAAAAAAGTTAGAGCCTGTTTGGGAGTGATTTTGAGAATTGATTTTTTGACCATTAGAAGAAAAGTGGGGTTCACCTGTGAGAGAAGAAGTCAAATATGACGACTGAAATAGTGAAATAACGGTCAAAAAATCAATTTTTTGGGCCAAAAAATCACTCCCAAACAGGTTGTTAGTATTCTTCCAAATTTTACATTTTCGAAATTTTACATTTGTAAATTCTAATACTTCCATTCTCCACGATTATAAGAGATTATTCTATAGTAATATATCACGTGTTTGACACCATTTATAATTCATTAAAATTATTTTATCATACATTTTATTAGAATTATACATTTTATTCTCATGAGATACACGTATTATAATTTACAAAGAACTCTTTCAAACTGTCGCTTTGTTTGGATTTACTTATAAGTAAATTATAATTTAAAAGTCAAACTCAAATTTTAATTTTAACTATATATTTCATAGGATCACATATACTATTCACTTATCCACTACTCAATTCTATCATATTGTAACGGCAAAATTGTAGCAGTGATCTCTAAGACTCTAACCATCATTTTTGGCAAATTTTATCCTAATCTCCAATTTGTGTCACAACGATCCCCAATTTTTCATAAATATGCAATATAGGTCCATTTTCATAAATATGCAATATAGGTCCAAATGGACCGTTAGTTGACTTAAAAATATAAAAAATGAATATTTTGACAATTTCAATAGAAACCCGCTTCTTGGACAGGCCAAAAAAAGGCCAAAATCCAGGGGCGCCAACAGCCTCCCCTCCAATCCGACTCTTTTCTTTCAAACAAGGGTATTTTCGTCAATCTAGTATGAAATGAAAAAAAAAATAAAAATTCATCTTCTTTCCCCAATGAAAATATATTGGAGAAAAGAAAATTCCAGACAACGGACTTGTGCTCTTTAAAATGAATCTTTAAATTGAATCTTTAAATTAAATTATTAGATCAAACAAGAGAAAAAAAATTGAAAATGAATGGTGAATAAATGAATAGCACCTGTATTTTTATTTTTTTTTAAATGTGTGATTGAAAATAAAATTTGGCCAATTTATAGATGATTCATAAATTTGTCTAAAATTTATTGACTTTTAGTGATAGTGAAATGGGTTCAAAATAGAATTTTCATATAATTTGAGACTTGGATAACTTCTAAATTTTATGATCCAAAATTGCAAAACTGTGTATCATTGACACAGGTTTGACACCATCGCCTATGCATAAACTATAATGAATGAAAGTGTTGAATAATGTAATTTAACACCATTGGTGGTAAAAATTTAGTATAGATGTCACTAATGTAGCATTAGATGAGAGATATATTTAAATAAATCATTTAATTCTATTTTTAATTGGACGCAACTTAGATTGACGTTGTAGCACTAGTGGTTCTGATAGCATTATTCAGAAGTAGATTGAGAAAAACGTTCCAAGTGATTTAGTATTGTTGTGGTGTTAAAAAAGAATCAATTACGGAAAATTTGTTTGGTAAGTTTTTATTTCAAAATTATTGTATATTTTAAGATCAATATTTCAACATTCGATAAGCAAAATTGATTTATTAATGTGGATGCATATAGTTATATAAATGATTAATATATATGTACTCACAAATTTTGACAAAATGGGTTACACACACTTACAAAAAATGCGGACCCCACATGAATTCAAAAATGCCGACTGTGTGGTCCCCACCCCTATTGTGAGTGTAAGTAAAACTTTTTGTACAAAAGTGTGAGTACATGTAGCATGATCCAATTTACTTGTTATACTACAATTTTATTGTTTGCCTTAAGTAAAATTACTTAATTAACCATTTAAATTTACATTTTAATATTAAATAATTTTTATGGAAACCACAATCATTAAACTAACTTGTTCTCTATTTTCTTTACACGATTGTGCATGGTGCAAATTCTTTAAATGGATCTCTTTTACACAATTCCTTAAAAACATCCCTGTCTTAGAAAACTTTCTCGAATAATAGAACCATAATTCTTAGGCAATTTAGAGTCCCACACAAAATCAACAGAGGACCTCATTAAAAGCCCTATTCAAAATTGTAAGTTACATAACTATGGTGGGTCTAAATACATGAGAACAGACACCGCACAACTTTCCAGTAAGTCCCTGAGGCCTGTCTTCGGTGAAGGGGCGTTGGTCGATGAGTCCATTCGAAATTGAAAGGAAAACAAGATTTTTGAAAATTTTGTAAACAATTTGCAAGATGGACTTGATTTCTTGGTAGTGATACAGATACAGATATAGATATAGATATGAAGATGTAGAGTGAGATATACAAGGTCAGTTTTAGCCATGTTTGATGGCTATTATTTGACAAAAATATAGATGGTAGTTGTTTGTTGGGTAGTGTATCCATATAGTATATTTTGCTATGATAAAATAATTATTTATAATAAACAAATTGTGATTTTATTTATTTATTTATTGCATTTATATATTATTGAGCATGCGAATTAAAGTGTCTGTCTTTATGATCACTTATGATAATATAAGTTAGATAATTGCGTTGAGAAGTACACTGTGGCATAACTTATATTTTGATCATAAAAAATTTGTTTACAATCAATATATAAGAGTTGACACCTTGTACTGAGAGGTTGTAATGCCGACTGATTCATTATTCAAGTTTGTGATATTTTCCTTATCACATAAATAGTTAAATGTGACATTAATACACTTGAAGTGTATTAAAGGGACCATATGCCAAGTTTAATTCTATAGCATGATCGTGCGGAGAATTAAATTTCACTTGATCGTTATGTATTTTATCTAAATTTTTTGACAGTGTTATGTATATCTTTTCGTGATTTTAATAACTTTTTGATTCATCAATAAGTGAGATCAATTTGATTGATCAAATATATCGATGAGTTGAAAATTTGAGAATGAGTGAAGTAGAGAATATGAATACGTATCGAAACTGTCATTATGAAAAATGGGTAGAGTAACTATTTAAGTATTTTTTGTTGAACGGTTAAAATTTGAGCTCAAGTTTTAGCAATAGTCAAACTTCGACATCTGTGATTAGTTCACAGGACCATTGAAAAAAAAGATACTTAAGTTAGTGAGAATAATTAGAAGGGCAATATAATTATTTATATTCGTACCTAATTATTGGATCTTAAACGGGGATAAAATACATATATTGTAGGTTATAAGAAAATATTATAGATTTATTGGCTTCTGTGATTTTATATGTTTAAAAAGTTTAGTCTTTTGCCTTTAGTGAAAAAAACAAAACAAATTATTAGATTGAGTGGTCTATGACCAAGTATACATGATCTAATTATTGGAATCTGGATAATATATATCTAATCAGGTCCCTATGGTAGCTCTATAAAGTATTAAAATTTAATTATGATAATTATAATGGTTTTGAGCTTAATTGTAATTATGATAAAGTTTTGTACTTAGTCGTAGTAATTATGAAAGTTGTAAACTTAATTATAACTTTGATTAAAGTTCGAAGACTATACATGTAATTAAATGTAAACTAATTAGATTTATTTGATTGTGAGATTATTATTGTACAAGGATTGAAACTAATATATCTCTATAATAGAGATTAGATGAAAACTAGGCATCCTATAAGATTGAATAGAAATCCTACAACAATTTTAATGCATAATTTTATAGTGTTTAAATTTGGAGCGAGAAAAAGAGAGAAAAAATAATTATTTTCTTATCTTATTCAATTGTCCACTTCAAGAATTAGTTTTTTGATTTAGTTAAAAGAAAGTGTATACCCATCGGTGTAGTATTGACTTTGGAGAATGCCATAGAAGACTTAGAAGTTTAAAATATCTAATTCTTGGAATTAAAAAGTTAGAAGTTCGTGATCTAAATGAAGTATATGATTTTAAATTATTAGGTTATATATGTAAAATTGAAGTAGTGTATCTATAAAAAATATATTTTAGTTTGGGTGGACTTAAAATGTTATGGAACAAAAATAAATTGTAGAGTGCGTTTGATTGACATGAAAAATATTACCTAGAAAAGAAAATATTTTCTATCTTTTGTGGAAAATAAAAACCACCTCTACCCAAGGAAAATATTTTTCTTAAAAACAAGGAAAATTAGGCATATTTTCAAAAGTTGGAAAATGTTTTCCATGGAAAAAAATAGCAATTAAACACTCCTGGTGAAAATTTGGATGAAAAACTGATATTTTTCATGAAAAATAAATGTAATCAAACACACCCGTAGTGATTATATAACTTCTCATATGCAAAATGTCATCAACTTCTACTTTTTCACATTCTCATCCTTAATTCCACCTTCTATTGCGTAAAATTTTATTTTCGTTCATTTTCATCCAAAAGCTATGGATACCAAACACTACCCTTATTCTAAAGGAAGGGTATTTTCGTCTTTCCATCGATTTAATTCCCGTTTTCCCCAGCCCCAGCCATGATCCACCCGACCTCTCCAAGAGCATGGACATAACTTTACAACGTGCAAAAGCAAAATAAGAAGAAAGACGTATATATCCATCATCATTTCGAACCACCCTATCCTTAATACTCGTTGCCCTCCACCTCCTTCACAACCCCTCACCCACGATCTCACACCCTTTTCATGCAGTGGCAATCAATGCATCATCTTCAGCCCCAACTATGATATTTCTTTCTGTACAGTGTTCTCTCTTTGTGATCTTCGAAAGTAGAAATGAAAATTTTCTACTTTGGAACCACTATCAAGTTCAAGGCACCCCGTATGAACTCCTAACCCTCTGTGACTGAAATGTGTATAAAACTCTTCACAGATTTTTTTTTTTCTGGAATTCTCGAGACCTTAATTTCACTACTTTCGATTTGTTCTCCCTTTAATTTACTGGTGTTCTTTTTGCATAATTTTGCTGTTTACCAAATCCCAACTTCTAAATTGGGTTCTTATTTATTTTATTTTATTTCTTTTGCAATTTTAGTTTAGATCAGCTGTTGAAATTTCCGTAACTTTTGCTTTCTTTTTTCCTGGGTGTTTTCTTACTTTAAGATTGGTACTAAAAAGGGGGTATAAATGCATCGTATTTCTCTGTTTCATACTTGACTTTTTCTCTTTCATTTGAAATTTTACTGCTTGATCTGCTACCCATTTACTTTTTGGGATTCGAATATGATTAAGTTTTGACGAATCTTTTGCTTTGTTTCGTCCTTTTCTGCTTCGTACAATTTCTTTAGCTTTACTGCTTCCCCCATTTTGGTGCATCGAAGGGAAATTAAGTCTACCTTTGAACAAAACCTTATTTCTTAATTACTTATAGTCTTTCTTTTAACTTTTTTTCCCCCCTTAAATCACTTGTTTCCTAAGATTTTTAAGAATAGCAGTTAGATTCGATATACTAAGAATGGGAAACAGATTCATAAGTAGAACGGAATGGGAAAGGAGGATTTATATAGCCGACTCCATTTTTATTGGGAATTAGGAAAGGCCTGGGTTTTCTTAGTCATTGTATGTTCTTGTTCTTTCATTTTCTCTTTCAGAGTTTTATTTTTGCTAGAGGAGCCTTTTACCAATTTGTTATATTACATTATTTGAGAGAAGGATTAGTCTTTAAAAATGATATCTTTACTTGGTGGATTTGAAACTTCTGCTGATTTGTAGATAAAAGATAAAAGTTTATCAAGAGTAGATTACATTAAAAAAAATGTGTTAGCATATAATTTGGTTAACTTAAAAAGATTATATTGTTTTATGCTTGTGTTTTTGGAGTTCTCTTTAAACATATTCCAAGATTTCTCCTTTTCTCTGTCTTGTTTATCTCCAATTTTATATTGGACATTGTGGATATATTAGCATTAAAACTCTCAACGTGGTTAAAATAATTGAGATTCCCATTACAAGACAAATGGTTAAGACAGACTTGTGTTGTATTATACTCTTTGATCACACGAAAATTCATTAATACTAACTCTTGTTGATTTTTGAGTGTACTTTCATGCAGTAATTTTTATTTGTATATTGAAATGGTGATTAAACATATTGAATTGATAAATGTCTTCAACTTTTGTTTAGCTGGATTCATTATCAGGTCACGTCTTCTTCATAGGCAGAATTGACCTTTGACTAAGAATAAAGAACACAGTTTTCCAATTTTTAGCTCTAAGGTCCCATGATTTGCTGCATAAGAATCTTGTGACTTCCAGTGGGCTTTTGCTTGGTCGATCACACAATCTGATCTGTGATATCCTGTGAGATCTGTTCCTATCAAGAAGAAGAGCCTTGTTTTGTTTTTTAATCTGATGATCTTTTTCTCGGTTTGAACAAATGGGAGGTTGTGTCTCAATTAGCAGTCGAAGTACTTGTAGTAGTAGGAGCAACGAAGATATGGTGTTTCCCTCATGTATTGGGATAGATATGTTTGGGCGAAAGAGAAGTAGAAAAACATTTTTTGACCACATCACTACTTTGCAACATTTGTCTTCGATACCTAGTCGGATATACACCAATGGGAGGAGCCGTTCTTCCTGCATATTCACTCAGCAGGGCCGTAAAGGCATAAACCAGGATGCCATGATTGTGTGGGAAGTAAGTCCAATTTTCTGTTGCTATTTCTTTCATCATTTCGAGGACAACTTTGTAATTTAGTGTTTATGTAGGATTTTATGTCTGAGGATGTAATCTTCTGTGGTGTATTTGATGGTCATGGTCCGCATGGACATCTGGTGGCTCGCAAAGTGCGGGATGCGTTGCCAGTAAAGGTGATGACATTTTTGCGTTCTTTCGAATCAAAGAGGAATGGGCTCAGTGCTAGTTGCTGCACTAAGAATGCAAAATCAGATGTAATAGATCCTGTAAAGGATTTGCCGGCAGACGATAAAATGGATTTGTTGTGGAGAGAAGCTTTTCTTAAATCATACAAGGCCATGGACAAAGAGTTAAGGTCCCATCCTAATTTAGATTGCTTCTGTAGTGGTAGCACTGCGGTCACTATAATAAAACAGGTACAGAGAAGCATTTCCATGATAATTGTGATACTTTGTTATGTATTATTTATCTACTAAATCTGTTTCTTATGATCTCATGATCAAGGGTTCAAATCTTTTCATGGGCAACATTGGTGATTCTCGAGCAATTTTGGGATCTAAAGACAGTAATGATTCTTTGGTGGCTATCCAGCTGACTGTTGATCTAAAGCCTGATTTACCAAGTATTTTCTTACATAGAGTGATTCTTTTTTAGTGTGCCTGTTGCATGAAGTAATCACATTCGTCCTTTTATTTTCAAATCAGGGGAGTCAGAAAGGATTAAACGGTGTAGAGGTCGAGTTTTTGCTTTGCAAGATGAGCCTGAAGTGCAAAGAGTTTGGCTGCCTTTTGACGATGCCCCTGGATTAGCAATGGCTCGAGCATTTGGGGATTTTTGTCTGAAGGAGTATGGAGTAATCTCCATTCCTGAATTTTCTCATCGGATTCTTAGTGATAGGGATAAATTCATTGTTCTTGCTTCAGATGGGGTACGTATCCGAGTATTTACCTCTGAATCTTCAACTTGTCTATTTCTTTTTCAGTTGCTACAGAATTCACACAATTATTAGTTATCAGTTACAAGACACAGGGATCCATGGATGCACAAGTTGTATGAATAAATGCATAAATATAGAAGCGCAAGACAAATGAATACATATGGTTAACACGACTTGAAGTAATGACAAACAGTGTGTTCAGGAATTTAGGAAACTGCGACCCAATAATTTTTTTCCCTTTTAAACGTCTTCACTAAATTCCATCAAAAATACTAATCCTTTTTCTAGGGGAAAATATCACATACTGTTCAATAAAAGTAGACAATGTAGGTTCAAAGTCATCTTTCCACATCTCTTTTCTAGAAGCAAGTGCAAATAGAGACAGAAATAATGAATCCTTGCGTTCTTGATTCCTTAAAAAATATAGTGAATAAATATATTGCTATAGAGCGCTGGCTTCATGCATTTCTTCTAATTTTTATGGACTTTGGATGAGTCTCATATTGCTTTGGGACATTGTGTGGGTTTTAAGACGGTGAGTATTCATTGGGGAAGTCTTCACAAAACCCAAAGGCTTCCATGTTTGAAGTTGTAACAGAGTTTAAAGTGGTGAGAGAGACAACTCTGACGGTAATTTTTATAAGTGTTTAGTCATTGTTTGGGATAAGGAATGGGCTTTTTGAATGGTAACTATTAATTGGAAATGCATTTAAAAAATTCAAATTGCTCCCTAATTTTTATGATGTAACTGCTTATGCCAAGAACTTTGCTTTTATTTATAGGGTATTCTGCTGTATAATGAAGCAGCAATAATTTATCACCATGCAAAATGACATATTTTACTTAACAACTAATTACAAAATTTGTAGTTGCCTAACTTGTGCAGTACAGAATGCATCTTTTGTGTTAGTTGCAAAGTTAGGTAATCTATTCTAGGTTCATTGACTTGGTTTACAAAGGCTTGGAGGGGTGCACTTAAGTTGAGCATTCGAGTAAACCATTTTAAGGAAAGCTAAGGGGCTGTTCTTTTTGGCGTTTTCTGGCCATTTTCTGTTTTCGATTTTCCAAAACGGTGAAAACATGTTCTCTTTCTCGTTTTCGAAAATGCCTTTTTAAAGACAAAAAAAAATAAAAATAAAAGAATAAATAAAAATTGTGGAGAAAATACAAAATGACCAAAAGGTCGTTTTGAGTGTTTTCTGTTGAAAATATTAAAAACATACCCAAAACTCAAAACATGCCAGAAAAAAATTGGAGGGCCGTGAAACTTCTATCTTCATTCTCTCCATTGGGCCGTCTCCTTCTTCCCCTTCTTGACGCCGACGACGAAGCAGTGGTTGATGGTGGTGGCGCCGGTGCTCGTGCCGGTATGGGGAGGTGACGCTGCTCCAAACCACAGTAGCGTCGCGACCTCTGCTCCAAACCACAGCATTGTCATGACCTATTCGTCGCTCGCGACGCTGCTGTGGTTGGGCCCGACGTTCGTAGCACGGCGATGGGTGTTGAAGGTGGTGGCGATTTGGTTTCTTCTCTCTCTTCTCTCTAATACTGTTGGGGGTTTTGGGGTTTTGGTTGATGGTGGTGGCGATTTCGGGTTCGGTTAATGGTGGTGGCAATTTTGGTTTTCGTTGATGGTTGTACCGGCGGTTGAGATGATGATTTTGGCAGTGGTGTTGATGGTGGTGGTACCGGCGGTCGATTTTGTGGAGGTGATTGGCTGTCTTGGTGACTGGTTATGGTGGTGATTGGTTGTGGCGGGTTTGGTTATGGTGGTGACCGGTTGTGGTGGTTGCGATGGCGATGGCGATTCTAGTGGTGACGACTTTGTGGTGGAGTTGTGGTGGTTTTTTGAAGAAAATGTTATAAAAAATTATTCTCAAAATTTACAAGTAAATGCATTTTTCAATTTCGTGTTTTGAATAACGGTTTTCTAAAATGACAAAAAGAACGTGTTTTCAACAATCTCAAAATGAACACTCAAAACACAAAACCCAAAATGAATTCGAAACTCAAAATTACAAAACTCAAATGCGAAGAGAATAGTCCCTAATCTTTTAAGAGATGCTCCAAGAGAAAGTTGAATTGAGGTTGTGGGAAATATCTTGATGCGGGAATGACCGCTCACAAGAGGTTCATGAATCATGGCTCTGGTATAACTTCTTCTGCAAGACTTTTATGCTTTTCTGTGGACGTAGACGTGAAAATGCTTATTAATAGGAGCAGATGCAATGTGCGCAATAGCTCTTTTATTGCTGCTGCATAAAATAAAAATCTTATGCATTATCTATCCAATCCAAAGCTAAACTACATGGACATTCAACAAATAACACATTTTCTGATTTTTCAAGCCCCGCAAACAGTAAATGTATGTTTGGTGCATATTTTTGAGTAGGAATGGCAATATAACAATCAAGATTTTATGCAGTTTCTTCTTTATGCTGTCCAGTACTCTCTGTGGTCCCTCTACCAAACATGTCAAAAAATTCAACTGTAATAAAACCCTGGAAAATAAGCACTACGTATGTAAAATGGGAAAAGAAGATGGAGAAGAAAAGAATGTTCTAATCCAAATTCACTTTTTCCTTGATGCTTAAAACTTTGAATGCTGATTTCTATAGAAAATGATAATGGAGCATTGGCAGAAAAGGGTAGGTGCAGAAACGGGGAAAGTTGGATTAAAATGACAAATTGATAAGCAGTGAGACTACTGATGTAGACATAGAGAGAGATGGAAGAAGAAAAAAAGAGAAGAAATAAGTGTCAGAAAGTTTGTCCCCTATCTACATCCATGCTCCATAGACAACAGGGTATGAAATCTATAGCAATTTAAATCCAAAATGATTCAGAGACTGCACATACTAGGTCAAGTAAACAATTAATTGTAATGCACCAATAGATCTAATCACATAGTGAACTCTTCCAATGCATTTGACACCCCGATTTGGGACATGGTATAAATGTCCAACATTTTACATGGAATAATTTACTAGGAAGCACATCTCAACATTTTTTATACTGTCATTTATGATTTATTTTATTCAGAGGTATTAAGCTTGATCATTCTTTTGCCATATGATACTTAAAAAATAGTATATGCGCGTTGTCTTTCTATCTCTTCTGCGCACAGACATATTACTATATCCAAATCCTCGGATTATGAGGATCGAAGCACCTGACATTTTTCACGTACTACACAAATTCATGTCCGAGTGTATGTAACGTCACCTGGTAAAGGCTGGGGATTAGAGATTGCTAATAATAATACCTGATACTTCTCTGCTGTTTTCTTCAAAAATCTTTGGATGTTTATCTAAAATTTTGATGCCTTGGACATTTTTCTTTGAATATCCATTGTCCTGTACATTTGTACTTAAGACATTCTTAGTCATATATATAGTGCAGTGCAATGCTTGTTTCGATTCACTTTTCGTCTTTTTAAATTCCTTGTTTAAATGTCATCATCTTTCTTCTACATATTGATTACAAAAAGTCTCTGAGGACCAAGCATTGGGTTCCTTCATTTTGATGCTGTGCTTTGCTGGTACTGGTTTGGAATTTCAACCTGCCTCTTGATTTCTTCAGGGTTCTCTGCTATATTAGTTGCTCGTTTTTTGTTCTGTGCTTCTTAAGCTACTTATTTGAATTTGGACAATGCCCTTGCGCATGAATTAGTACTTGATGTAAAAGCAGAGCATGGTCATTTGAAAGCAAATCCTCGTTTGATTTTGATTTTTTGATAAGTGATTTTGTGAGAAGTGATTTCCTCCTTTTTTTTTTTTTTTTTGGTGGTGGGAGAATGTGTTCTTAAAATGTAGAGAAAAGTTATGTGTCCATGTGTAACATTATTTTATTGGGAGAATGTGTAATTGGAAACAAGTTTGAAAAAAGTGATTTTTTAAGCGTCAAAATCAAACATGGGCAAAGATGAAAGGTTTCAATTTGAAGTTCTAACCTACCACAAATATGTTTTCAGTAAATGCATCTAGCTGTCAAGATTAAACAACTAATACTTCCCTGAGGACTAAACTTAAATTCATCTCTGATTTTCTCTGGAGCAAGATTAACAACTCCCACATACAAAAAGTCAAAAAGTAAGAGGTGCACATATAAATAATGACTCAATTCACACCCTATCATCTGTCTTCATTTCTGAAAATTATTGTTTCTGTTAGAAGGTTTCAAGGAATATTTGTCTAAAACCATTCTTGTAATTTGTACTTCCTGATATATAAACTTTTGTTCCATTCTTTTATGAATGTTATTTTCAGCTTGAGAGTGTAAAGTGGTGGAATGGAAAATGACGCTGTTAGTTATTGTCAGAATCTTGAGAGTAGTAGTTAAGTTTCTTTTAGATGTTGCCTTCTTTGTGTGATTGCTCCTGTACGTTGGACAACCTTGTGGAAGCTTAAATTATTAGTTGTTCAACTTTCGTGGAAACATGATTCTTTTAAAGAGGATCTCCGTCCAAAGTTGGTTCGATTATTTTGCCAACGGTTTTGATAGCATACTTAGTGTAAATCTTTTAATTCTATAAAAACCTTTCTGACGCTATCAGATACGTGAACATTATAAACTCGTAGTTTCTGAGCTATTTGTGTGCTATCATTGCAGGTTTGGGACGTCTTGAGCAATGAAGAAGTGGTCGAGATAGTATCATCAGCTTCGACGAGGTCATCAGCTGCAAGGATACTGGTCGAGTCTGCTGCTCGTGAATGGAAAACCAAATATCCAACATCGAAGATGGATGATTGTGCTGTTGTTTGCTTATTTTTAGACGGGAAGATGGACTCTGAGTCTGACTACGATGAACCTTTCTCATCTGCTACCCTCCAGAGCAACCATTCTGGTAATGCTGTGGAATCAGATGATGGGCAAAACCACGAGCCCTGTCTTCAGAGAAATATTACTGTCCGATCATCTGAAGAGAATGATCCCAACAGTAGAATACCAACTGATGTAGACGCAAATGACGAAAATATTACAAATGAAGATCAGAACTGGTCTGGATTGGAAGGTGTTACAAGAGTCAATTCCTTAGTTCAACTTCCAAGATTTTCTGAAGAAAGGCCAAGGCCATAGTTTTATGATTCATTTGTACTATCATATATTTTCTGTATTTTAAACCCAAGAAAATAGGAAACATTTCTGGGTTTGATTTCATCTTCTTGTAACGCTTTTGGCAATATTTGTTCCTGGTTGTTCAATTTGCATAATGCATTGCATGAACTCAAGGACTGTATTTCTCACAAATTAAAGGCATGGTAATTTTGCAGGAAAACAGAGAAAACATATTATGGGAAAATTTGTTAGATAAAGATAGAACCCTGTTAAAAACTTCATGGCCATGTTTGATTCACAGAATTGGAGGAATTTTCATTTTAAATCGTGTCAAGTTCAGTCTACCAAATATGCACTAATTTATCCATAACTGAATTCTTCAAAATGAAAAGTTGGGTTTGAAATGTAATGTTCTTCCAACAACTAAGTTCCTTTCTATATGGTCCCTTGAAATTTAAGTTGGGATGAATGAATGTATTTCCAGTGGCTTGGATTCAAATTACCATTATTGATCACCAAATTAAAAGACAACTTTCCGGAAAAAAAGGACAAAAATTCAATGCTTTTTCATGCAAAGGATCAGGTTCATAACAGTCTCCTGGGGCATCCAACAGGACTTTCTCCTCAAAACACGCTCGAAGTGCAGTTAGTTTGATCCACAAATCCTAAAATTACGTATGAATAAAGCTGCTCATCTCGAGATTAAATCCCATGATTGAATCTAGGGACCTTGGCCCCTGATTTGATGGTGGCGGGCCCCATGTTATGCAAGATCGAGGGTCAAGGTGGCAAAGCCAAACCTTGAATTTAATCCCAGGTTGTGTAGCAAAATTCATTACATATTGCCTCGTCTAGAGCAGAGGGCAGTTTTCTCTATTTAGTTTGAGATTTTAAGAATACTTATAGGGTGCTTGATTGGAGAGTTTGGATAGTAGAGCATCTCCATCATGCTCTTTAATATCTCCGTTCTCCTTATTTTAGAGAGTTGATTCCTCATTTTAAGAGTTCGATAGACTTTATTTATCAGGGAAATTTGCATTAGAGTCTCTAAATCTTTTTAAAATGTGTCATTAGGTTCCAAGTCTTTTAATCTTAGAACATACATTTCAAACCTTCTAATAAATTGTGTACCAAAATGACCCATGGAGGGTTTCGGTCTAAATTACCATTAGTTGACCGAATGTCAAGTATTTGACTATTTTTAAAAGGATAAAATATTAACAATAAATTTTCCACCTCTTCCTTTTTATTTCTTTTTATATAATTATTTTAAGTGAAAAATGTAGCGCTATCATTTTGCCAATTCAAAAATGGAAAAATGCTTGACTTTTGATCAATTAAAGGTCATTTGGACGGAAATCGTCCAGAGATCATTCAGACCTATATTTATTAAAAGATTTAGGAAATAGATGCTAACATTAGAAGGTTTGGGACTTCATTACACATTTTTAAAATGATTGAAACCTCTACTGCAAATTTTAATAGTAAAAATTTAAAGGCTATCGCTAATTGCATCCACAGTTTTTACATATACATTCATTTTTAAAAATACAATTTATTATATTTTTTTATCTTATACAAATTTAACTATATAGACATATAAAATTAAATAAAAATATATCGTTCTAACTTCATCCATTAATATTTATTTTTATAAATTCTTTTAAACCTTTTTATATTCTTTTAGAGTTTGTCTTAACTAAAATTCTAAAAATAATAAAATACAACCTTTATCTAAAATCATAGAACCCTAATCATAAAATATACTCTTCAACGGATTTTTTTTTTTTTATAAAAAAAATAA